CCAAACCACCCTGGGGGAAGGGCAGGAATGGTTGTCTATGCATTTCCCTAACAAGGAAACTGAGGAACAAAAGAGTTAAAGGACTAGTTGTTAGTGCTATGTGTCTCCCCACCCCAAGGGTTTTCCTGGGGTCTCCCTGGCTCACCTGACATTGCAGTGAGCGGCAGTGACCATCCAGTTCTCGCTGATCAGGGAGCCCCCACAGAAGTGGAAGCCGGTGCTGTCCTGCAGGAAGAGGGCAGGGTCAGCACTGGCCAGACACCAGCCACACCCAGCTGGGCAGCAGCCCCCACCTGGGAAGCCTGTAGCCCAGAGTGACCCCACTCAGGTTCTGACTGGCCCTCACCTGCAGAGACACCTGCCAGGGCCAGGAGCCGGGGACAGCGTCTTCCCCATTGACGATCCTGGACAGGCCGCTCAGCACTGGGTGGATGGCGGGGGTCCCGCAGCCTGGGGGTGGGAGTATGGGGTAGAAGTATAAATCAAGGCTGACTCTGCTTCCTCCCCAGATCTACTGCCTCAGAAACTGCCCAGGGACACTCATTCTGCCAAATGCTTCAGCCCAAACAAGGCAATATGTCAAAGGCAAGGCAGTGTCAGCACCAAAGTGTGGGCTGGAGGCTGGACTCTGTGGATTTGAACCCACCAGTCACTGCCTTACTTAAGCACCCTGAGTCTCAGTCTCCCCAGAGCAAATAGGTATCATAAACTCTCTGACTTCACAGAGTTGCTATAAGGATACAATACCAGGAGCAGCAAAGATGGACCTGCTGGATTCCTCCCACAGTGATTGTTGATGAACCTGATTTAAAACACCTGCCAATCGCTCACCATCTGAGCCTACTGGAGAGCCACTGCTTGTGAGAGCATCCGATCCCTTTGGACACTTCTTTCTGTGCCTGGGAGACCTTTGGACAACCCCATAAAAGTCCAGCTCTTCTTTGGCGGCCTGACTCTGCTGTTCTGGTCCAATCCCCCCAGCCTCTCCATAGAAGAGACAGGCCGTGAGGCTCAGCAGGGACCGAGATTCACTTGGGCTCACTCCACCAAGCATGGCCGAACTCTGAGCTAGGACCTCCTGCCGCCCCTGCTGGCCTCGGGACTTGGAAGAGGGGAGCGGGCTTCCCAGCCTAAGTCCACCCCGGTACTCACCGAAGGCTGAGCCCAGGAGGGTGAAGCAGGAGACAAGCCAGAGGAAGGCCATGGTGCTGCAGTCAGGGAGGTGTGGGGAGCCTGCCTGGGGCTCCCCCTTTATATCCCTGGATAATCTGGAGACCTTGAGGTGACAGTCCCTTTCCTGGGAGTGTGCCCAAGTGGCCAGGTTGTCCAGAAAAGGGCAGGGACAGCAGCATGTGGTCATGACTAAAATGAGGTCAGGTCCAAAGGCAATGTTGGGGGCAAACAATGTGAACCTTGACCCTTAGCCAAGAGGAAGGGACTAGGACACCAGGCTTCCTCCTCTAGGCCCTGTGGGCAGCAGCTGGGCCTGAGCAAGGTTTCAGGCACAACCTGGTCTCATAGTTGGATGACCTGGAAGAGGTCAATTAATGGCTCAAAATCCTGGCAGTGTCATCAAGGAGGGGACAGATGTGGACCCTGGCCTTTATCTACAGGGACCACGGACCCTGGGTTTGAACATGAAGTGTCCGTGACAAGACAAGTGTCTTGGCCTGACCTGGAGCCTCCTCCTGCCATCCAGTATCCCTCTTAAGCTCATGGCGGACTAGCTCCTTCCCTTGGGCAGGTAGCACAGCCCCGGGGACCAATTTCTGACACTGGAATACAGCGGAGCCTCTTCCCAGGATGGGGAAACTGAGGAGTGAGACTTTTGAGGTTGAGATTGCTCGATGAGGTGCAAGAGCCCCACAATGCAGGAAGGAAATGATAGCCTTTCTCTTTTCATTTCCTCTTAGCCTGATCAGAGTAGTTTAGTTATTCCTAGTACAGGTTTTAGTACCAGGCAGCTGTTGGGCCCTCAGAAAATTATTTCTGCTTTCTGTTCCCATTTTGAAGTACATAAAATGGGGCTTCAAATAGTAGGTGACGAACATGTAGGACCAAGCCTAACACCAGCCTGGTTTTTCCTCAGTCTTATTAGATTGCCTGCTCCTGCCATTAACATATTCTAGAAAACTGTCTAATGACAGGGAGGGATGGCCACAGGCTTTGGTGGGGAAACAGGGCACAATACATGGTGCCAAGTGTGGCCCCAGCTTTTAGAGACCCTACTGTGTACAAGTCCATTTACCCTAACAACCAATGCTTACCAGCCCCCTCATGGGATATAACAGACACTCCAGCCTTGAGCAGCTTTTCATTTGGAGAGGTGGTGGGAGGGTTTAAGACACGAGTTAAAATATAAGTAAACGGCATTACCACCAGCTTAGGTTATGTTACTGTCATCAAGAGTAGGAGGACCATGACCACCAAGGCAAAGGGCCTCTCCAAAAGGAACACTTAAGCCCAACCTAATATTTGGAGTAAGTGGGGCCAGCACATCTGGGAGAAAACCATGTCCAGGTGGGGGGAACAGCAAGAGCAAAGGCCTGAGAGTGTGCCTGGGTGGCATCAACTAAGTGAGGGTCTGGATGGTAGTGTGGAGCCAAGAGGACAGGAATGCCGAGTGGAGAAGTCACCTGGCCACGTATTAGAGCTGCAGTGAAGAGGAAGGGCTGTGGGAGCGGTTATGGTGACCCTTTGACTCTCAGTGGAGCCATGGTCACAGCCCTGGACTCAGGTGCTGGCTGACCATGCATCGGTGAGGAGAGTGCCTGTTCAGGAGGGGACACAGTGTCCTGTATTCATCCAAGGCCAAGGTCTTGGGAGGCAACCACCGGCCCTGGTCAACTTCTTGGGCACCTGAGGCTGGGAATCCGCATAGCTTCATGTGGGAGCAGAAATGGCGAGTCCTGCTGGGGAGGCACCTGGAGCTGCTGGGACAGGCTGCTGCTCAAGGGACCCCCATCTAACCTAAGTTATATCTGTTTTTGCCTATGTGGTGTCTTCCCTCCATGAAAGCCCCGGTAGACATACGCAGAGTGATTTTTATGCTTTTCATTACTATGAAAAAATCCTTGAAGAAACTATGCAATTTTTTCTCATTTTTCTATTTTTGGACCCTCTTGAGTCATAAGTACAGTGATAGCTAAATTTCTCATTAAGTGAAATCCTCTGCCTCCAGTATTGGTAATTCTTACCAAACAGAAGTATTATGTAAGTACACGAACAGTGGAGAAATTTTCCTGGTTTCTGTGAATTGCCATAAAAAAGTTTAGACAATTGAATCACATTGGAGTATTTGATCGTTTGTGTAGAAATTAAGACATTACATGAAACCAGGTTGATCCCAAATTTGTTTTTTTTAATTTATATATCAAAACCATTCTATTTTATGCTAAATGGGATCATCATAGCTAGAATCATGAAAGAACTGAAAATGTCAATTCTATTAATAAGTTCCAAATTCATATAATATCTCAAACTAGCCTAACACTACCTGTGTTAGAGCACCTGATAAGAGGAATAAAGATTATACTTGGCCCAGTAACATTTATGTGTAAATAGATACTGGTAAAGGTCTCAAAGATAACATGTGCTCAGAAATATTAAGTGCTGCCTTCTCAAGTAAAACCAAACAAAAAATTAGGCAAATACCAATCATTGTCTTAGACAAGTGAGTTTTCAATATATGCAGAGCTGTGCAACAACCCAGAAAGCTTTAGGTTTCCACTAAGAACCCACATTTTGGCACCTGATCAGAATCCTTAACATATTTGCTACCACAATTATCTTGTTAGGTTGCGTATCTTGCTTAAGTCTTTATACCTTTACATAAAAATTTATTTGATTGGCAGATCCATCTTGGAATACTTAGTGTGCTCATTAATCCAAAGAGAAGGCACAGTGACAGTGACTTTAAGATGAGAGAAAACATTCATTTTTTTGCAGTGACATAACCGTGCGACACTGCCGGAAGTCAGGCCTCATGCTACCAAAACCTGTGCCTCAATAGAACAAGGCAAGTGAAGAAGGCACCCCAATCGGTATGCATAAGAACCCCAAGGGCAAGGACCCCCATCAGCAGCTGAACACATTACATTAGGTTCATTTTAGATGTTCATGTGACTTCTATTTCTTTCAAAAACTCAGGATAGGTCAGGTAGGTAAGCTAGCACACAAAAAATAGTAGTTTTCATAAGAACGCAAATTCCAAGTATTCAAAATGGAATAATCTTTGAAAAGCCTGAAGGAAGATTATCTACCCCATGTTGTACACTGCGACTCTTATTAGGTATTAGAACTTTTTCTCCTTCACAGCACATGCTTTGGAAAGGGTCTCATTTACCAACCTGTGGTGTAGTTTTATTTTTTATTTTTTTTACTTTTGTCTAGAACAACTGGGGTGTAGGCCAGAGGTGCGAGGGGTAAGAGGATTCACCAGAGAGATGTTACACTTAACTTCTGTGGGAAGGTTAAGACTTCTAGAATCCCCAAGTCCTCAGGTTTTTCACTGCCAGCTTTGACGGGCATAATGTTGAAAAGGTGCCATTTCTTTTATAAATTTCTCAGGCAAGTTCAGTGCCTTTCAACAATTCAATGTAATATTAAGTTGAACCATATGAAACTGTAACTAATTTTAATTTATTAAAATAGCAATTTCAGGGCCTCCCTGGTGGCGCAGCGGTTGAGCACTGGGTTTGATCCCCAGCCGCCGGGCGAGGGTCCACATGGCGCACAGACCTCTCCTGCCGCCCGCTGCTCCCCTCAGCAGTGTACCTCAGTCCTTCTGCCTGCTCTGCTCCCCGCTCTGGCTCTGGTGAATTCTCTCACTCTCCCGCGCTTCTGACTGTACCCAGTGCTTGTATGGATAAATAAATAAATCTTTAAAAAAAAAAATGGCAATTTCACGTGGTTCAACGTAGTGCCATGGAAAGGATTATTACAGAAGTTACTCAAGAGCATTAAGGAAAAAAAAAAAAACAACAATACTACAACTTTAATTAAGCAGATTTAATTTCCCTGAGATCATATTATGTAAACTGCACAAATAGACCAGTGATTTTTAAACTTTACTGGATATACAAAGTAGCTAGGTAGCTGTGAAAATGGTCCCCATAAGTCTGAGGGGGGGCAAGCGCTTGCATGTCTACAGGGGATGCTGATACTATGGGTCCTCAGCCAGGCTGAGCAGCATCAGACTGTTTAAGAGGAACTATAAGAAAGAGTCAGCTAAAAAGGAATCATGTGCATAAAATGCTGAAATCACTAATGGATAATATTAAAATATTTCTCTACTCTCTCTAAGATCAATCTTTGGTTTTCAGATTTCCATGTGTCTGATTAATTATAAACTCATTAAATTTATAGGCTTATTTTAACACTGAAAATAGTGCTATGATTTTAAAAATTAAAACATGGCTATATTTAAAAGCTCCTAGGAAACAAGCCTATTTTCTGAGAGTAAAAAAAGCTTGTCTTTGGAGAAATTTTTCTGAAATTCTACTTCATTACATAAACCCCTATTTCTTGTCTATTGAGTTGGATATCCACAATTTAGCATGCTTCTGAATTTTATATTGTATTTCATTCTCATTAGTAGCACTTGGCACTTGAATAAAAGTTCACAATTACAACACAATAGAAAGTTAATATTTTTCTTATAGCTGGACAGGAAAAAGGATAAACTTTAAACTTCCAATTTGTTCTTTATCATAAACATTTGAGCTTACCTCACACAACTTCTAAAACTACAAGAATATGTTTTCTGCTTTACACATAATAAATATTAAAGTTAAAGCAAATCAATGTATTAATATATTATTTGGAATTATCAATGGATTGGGTTGAAAACAGGAATAATATCCTAGTGGACTAATTTAGAGGACTTTGCTGGCTGTGTGAGGGAGAAAGGAAGTTCCTAAACAATTTTTATTGAAATTAACATCATCCATACAGTCAGCAAGTGCCTTGCAAGCAGCTCCCTGTGAGTTTGTACTCAGCTCACTCTGGGTCTCTCAGCTGGTCCCTTGGGCAATGTGTTTGGAAGGGTGATTCACTCTAGGCCTCACAAAAGGCATATTAATATTTCCCTGTAGATCACTACAGTGCTCTGTCTGCAGGTGTGGTAGTAAAATGAAATGAAGGAAATTATTTTCAATACAAGATGCTGAAGAATTAAGTTCCTCCAACGTGGCATGATGCCTGACTCTCTTACTCTACATAAATCATTCCTCTTCAAAGCATTTCTGTGCTTTGGCTTCTATCACCAGACTGGTAGAGTGCTGGCCTCTAGAAGCAGATCTGCATGCCTGACATCAGGTAGATTTGTCAGAAACACAAGCTCAGCTGTCTGTGGAGTGTGGGGTTTCAGAGGTAATGGACATGGAACAGACCCCACAAAATGCTTTCTCCTATGATTGCACACACTGGAATTATACAATTAACACTGATTATACAATTCTAACAGCTAGCTATTAACAAAAACAACCAAGTTTCTGGCTTTTATTTTAATCAAGAGCAGTATATCTCAAAATAATTATTTTTCTAATAAGAAATTGCAAGTTGTGCTTACTAAACATAGGAAGTTTCTGGGCCTCACCTAGGCCCATGAATTAGTCTCTGAGTTTTAACTAGTTCCCCAGCTAGAACAAGTATTCCTAATCTTGTTAGGACTTTCCTGTTGTAATAAAGCAGCTTCTCCAACTCTAAGATTTTGATAGCAGAAAATCTCCTTCTTAGCTTATGGAGTCTAACATGAAATCTGGGCCTCTCTTCATTTAGTAGGGAAATCCTTGTGGTCTCTTCCCTGCTTGCACATATTATGTTCTGTTGTCCCACCATTATTTCCTTATTCTGTAGTGGGGAGCATTAACACTCTTGAAAATTTTAACTACACTGGCCCAGAACAGACTTAGGTAAATATTTAATATCTTTCAATTTGGAAAAGCTTTGCCCTGATTTTAACCTTCCTCCATCCGGGTCTGACTTGGATGCCACCAAAACAGTCCCTCAGATGTAGTTGTTTCACTTACACCATGACCCCTTCCAAAGCCCTTTTCTCCTCATGCCTCTGTCCCTCATTCATACACTTTGAATTTTGTTTTCTCATGTAGTCCAAATCAGTTCTATTCACTTTTTAATTTATCACTTGTATCACCACTGTATAGAGGTTTGTTTAGTAACATTATAAAAATAGCCACTAGGGCTAATGCTGCTCCCAGACTGGGGGGGCCACAAGGGCTAACCTCCTGGGCAACTCCTGAGAGGAGGGGGGCAATGATCCGGCCCATCGCTGTCACTGACTGCCCCACACCGATGAGGGTGCCGCTGGCCTGGATGCCCCCGACAGTCAGCTGGAGGTCTGTAATGCACGTCCTGCCAACGGCAGTGGAGAAGGAAAGGAGGGTCGAGGAGAAGATGACCATGCTGGTGGTGTGTGCCGTGGAGTAGAGCAGCAGCAGCAGGAAGGTGAGCACGTTGGAGTGCAGCAGGATGGTGTGCGAGTTATGCTTGTACAGCCGCATAAGGGGCCCCAGGGCAAAGCCCGCAAGGGCCCCTATTGCGCTGCTGTAGCTGATGAGGTAGCCTGTGGTCTTGGGCCTCACCCCAAAGCGTTCCTCAAGGGCCAAGACAAAATTACTATGGTAAAGCATGATCGCCACAGCCATCAGCAGGCGCACTAGAAATATGTCCCACATCTCAGAAAATATCAGGCTCTTCATATTCTGTAGTGTGGACACCACTTCCATCCAGGGCAGCCGAGCTTTCTTCTCACTCGCCGTGGTCTCATGAGTGGTATGTGCTCCCAGCATTTGATGGTCTCTATTTCCTAACCCCCCACCATGCTTCCTTAACCACAGGCCATTCTTTGTGCTGTCTAGTTTTACTTCATTCCATGGAAATAGCCAAACCAGACCTGTTAAAACGGCACAGGATCCTGTTTCAGTAGGCTGAATGCACGCCATTCACACAGTGTTCCACAGGGGAGAAACAATTATTTGTATTAGATTACTATTCTGTATTTCTGTATTAGTAAATTTACTAATTTATATTTTTTAATCCAATTTCTAACTGTTCCCACAGCTACTTCTACTCCACTTTGATAGCAGGGTTCTGCTATTCACATTTTAGAAAAAAAGCATCTATACCTACAAAACATTTACTATTTTCCCCTTAGCTCAAGAGCCAGTGATGTTTTCCTAAATCCCTTTACATCTAAATTCTTATGTTTTATGTTTAAATTCTTCCCTTCATTAACTTTCTGATTCTCTGCCTATCTACCATCCATCCATTCATCCATTCACCCATCTATCCTCATGCACCCACACACTGATTATTTACAGAGCACTTTCAGAATGCTAAATCCTGTACTAAACACTAAGATTATATTAATAAGACATGGCATAAAAATCCTGCCCTCAATACAGTTAACAGGATGCTCCCCAGGCTACTATCACTCTCCTACTCCTCTTCTAAAGTTTTCTTGGCTGAGTGGGGAGTAGGAAAAACCTGACACCAAGGACTTGTCAGAAAGTACGTTTGGTTGGGAAGAGACAGATTTGGAAGAGCTATGAAGAAAACTGGATTATTTTAGACATAATGATCAAGGAAGACCTCTTTAAAGAAGCAAATGTTTGAGACTTGAATCAGAAGAAAGAGTAAGTAGAGATAAGGGGAGAAGTAACAGGAAGTTACAGTGCTCTCCTGTGGAATAAGCCTAGAATGCTAAAGGTCAACTGGGAAGCTAGTGCAACTGAAGTCACATGGAGGGAGGCAGAGAGGCCAGGGCCAGTCGCCCATGTGGGGCTGTGTGAGAAACATGTTCGTTAGCCTGGTGGGAAGCCACATGAGGTCTGCAGCAGGGGAAGACATGGTCCAACATTCATTTATAAATAATGAGTCTGCCTATTCTAAGAAAAACAAGTTGTAAGGAGATAAGAGTAGGTAAACTGGTCAGAATGAATGCATAAATCAATCTTCTCACAATTAAATGTCAACTTACCAGCATTGAGAATGAAGACAGAAAAGCAGATGAAGGCTGTTAGATAGAATCCACCATCTAGTTCAGTAAGATACCCTCCAACCATGGGGCCTAAGATGAAGCCCACACTGGATGCTGTATTAAAATGTCCAATTACCAGTGGTCGTTCCTTCTCTGCAACCAGATCAGAAAGCAGAGCCCTTGAAATGGAGAGTGTGTGTTTAAAAATACCTGCAAGAGAACAAGAAACATGTTCTGTCATGTTTTCCGAGTCAAAAGTGTCTTGCTTGTAATCCTACCCTTTAAATGTTTCTGATCTCTACTTTCTCTGAATGTCTAGAGCCTGTAGGTTCCATCCCTAGCCTGTCTGCACATTTAGTTGGTTATCTTCCCTTTGGCAACCAAGAGGTTGAGCCCTGTTTGTCCACCACCTCTCCTGATGTCCCAGTGTATCCAGGCCTCTGTTAGCCAACTGTAATTCATAGTGGCTCCTATATAAGAGCTGGCATTCTGTAGTCATTCACTCAGTGAACAAACATTGACTGTATCCCTACTCTAAGTCTGGCACTGTCCTTCACCTGATCCTGAGAATAATGCAAGAAACAAGGGGGGTGGGGGTGGATCCCTGTTCTCAAAAAGCCTGTGTGTGTGTGAGTGTGTATGTATGTATATGATGACATATCCATCTAACCAATTCCTACAATTCCAGCAGATTTTCTACTAGTAAGAGGCTTGTGAATATATTGATTAAACAAACTGAGAGCTGTTATCTTACTTAATGAGATTAAAGTGCATTTAACAGCTTTATATCCCTCATACTTTGCTTACATATTTGACTTATATGCACTCATATACCCATATGAGTAAACACACTCATAAATACGCTAATGGACTCTGGTGAAATATGTGTCCTATGATTTTGATCAATACATACATAGTGGGAACTCAAATGCTGCTGTGGGCCTGCCCAAGTTGCTCCTACGTGTGACGTGACACACGGCTGCTGGTGGTCTCCTGTGAGAAAGCACTGCTCCGTGCATTACCATACTTAAACACACTAATTAGTCCTGGGTTCTGATCCTGTTTTGTCTCAAAACTTGAGTGGGCCTTTTTCTGATAACCAGCAACCAGATCTTTGAGAAAGAAGCACACAGATCCTTATTGGTATTAGATAGAATGATTCTCTCCATCTATTTCCTTAAATGTGAGAAAGGATTAGGCTAGAAGCTAATCTAGGCCTTGTAGGAATTCCATGATAAGTTCTGAATAATATGGATGCCAGTTCACCTTCCACACCTGAGGGAAGAGGACTATGGTAAGAATATCTGTGAGCAACCCAGACAAGCCTTCTCCTGCCTTTCAGAGGTGAGCAGTGGACAGAAGAAAGAAGAGAACACAAGGTGTCCAGCTCTGGCATTTTAACCTCAGGCTCACTTTTTCGACACAAAGAACTAAACTTACAACTGAGCTTGGGCAGCAGAATCCCAGCAAAACCCTCCAGGGCTCCCTCATGCTCATGGACCATCAAACACTGCAGAGGTTCTATGGACATGAGAGCATTTTTCTGTATAGCTTTCCCTGATGGCAAAGAGTATGGTGTCCACATCACAGAACTATGCTGTTCAAACCAGGCTCACTGCATATTAAACAAAAGCATTTAATCCTCCCCATAAATCTCTACCCATTTTGTAAAAGAATGTAAGTTCTATTCATCTTATCTGTTTCTCCAGAGTCATGAGTAGCCTTCTCACCAAATGGAGGAGCATTTTATGTTGTAAGAAGAGACACTGCTATCCAAACCAAGAATATACAATAGCTTCGATGCACATGCAACAGCTATCAGTTGATTTTTGTAAGTAGTAGTTGGGCTTGTGAGGGTGGCTGATCACATTTAAAGCAAAGACTTTCATAAAGCATTTTCTAAAGTCAACAAAATGTCATGGCATGAATTTTGGAGTGTGAAATCCAAAGACTTTCAAAGTAAGTATACATATCACAGAAATGGTGCAGAAATCCTAAGTAAGCTGATAAACTATATGTTAAAATGACGTATTTTATGCTCTATTCCTTTGGGTATTGGTTTAAAACAAGCCCCATTTCAAAACTATGGGCTTTGACAGGGAGAGAAAAGTAACCATAGAGCTGTCAAAGGCACTGAACAAATTCTCACTGACTGAAGCTGACAGGTGGACAGTAGGCGAAGGTCCTACTGCAGATTAGCATGCTTTATCACAGAGGCCATCAGGGCAGCACTATGTACATGTATGTACATGTAATTGATTTGTTTTGAATGAAAACACGCACACACAGGCAACTTACCCACAGGGACTCTAGCCAGGGTGAACAGAAACACATTGGTTGATGCTCCAAGAATAAGGTAACCTAGGGCGCTGAAGAGAATGCACACTAGCAAGGAAGATCGTCTTCCCACCACATCACTCCAGCAGCCCTGAGAAAGCAAGAAATACAGAAATACAGAAATACAGAATACAGAAATACAGAAATCCTTTGATTCACTGTAGAGCCACCACCACTACCAGCACCTCAGAAATGTCCCCAATTGGGACATTTCCTAGTGGAAAACTTCAGGGAATTTGGTTTATGATCCTTAGGTGCTCAATTCTGTAATACCATTTATCAAAATAAATTATTTTCTTTGATCTTTCCACAAGTAGAAGGGTAATATACACTTAGCTGTCTTTACAGACAGAAAATTTAAGATAGTCCCTATGATGACCTTCATTCTAATTACTCCTATACCATCTGATATTCAGCATTTATTTACTTCTTTGGTCACTAAAGCAATGACAGATAATTTTTGTATAAGAAATAATACGGGCTCAGAGTAGATACTGAGATTAAGTGACTTCATCAAAATATTTAGACTCTATGTCTTAATTTCCTCATTTTACATGAAAGGGAGATTCCAAACTATTTTGCTGAGTTATTGTAAAGGCTAAAAAGAGAATAAAACTATTATTGTTATCACAATTTGATATATAAAAGATTTTAAGATCAATCAAGAAATAGTTTTAGTTACCTAATAATTCATTATGGAATCTGAACAAATTTCATGTTTTACAATTTATTTTACAAGCAAGTGACTATCTGAAATGTATAGTACAATTTGAGAAATGTGAGACCAGCAGCTATTGAGATCAAGGTCATGGCTGATAATCTTTGGGATTACACTGTTCTGTTTGAACTGCCTAAACAGCCACAGGGCGCAGGTCTCAAGGCCACAGTGGCCACTGTTGTGTGCACAGAGGAGCAAGAAGGGCAGGTCAGTTAAGTATTCTGAATTTCAAATTGAGGAGTCAGAAATGGAGTGACAAGCTCAGCTCTGGGTCTTCCTATCCCAATCTCGATATACAGCCTGTCATTCCACACAGTTCCTTCTGTCTATACCTTAAGTTATATGATTAATAAGGTTGAAACACACAATTTCAAATAGAATCTTAGGGGGCTGAATGGATATTTGATTATTGTCAATTAATTGAATCAAACAAAACTGGTAATAACTTCTGTTACCAATCATTTCTCCTAGTCAAAAGTTATCAGGGCGTCATGGGAAGAACATGATATAAGTCATCAAGTAGATTCTCATTCTGACTCCATGTGGTTCTTCCAGAATAAGTCATCTGAGTCCATTAGGCCCTTGTCTTCTCGGGTGTCAAATAAAGAGCCATGATTGAAGGATCCTTCTTGACCTAACTATACTGTATTTCCTAATCATCTGCACATCTTCTTTCCTTGTAACCATCAAGCCTCCAATTTTACTGCAGCAATGAATGGCTGCCAGAGGTGATTAACTATGCTTTTAAGACATGCTGCCGGATAAAAGATAACTTACCACCATCGTGCTAGAAAAGAGTTGTAAAATGCCATAGGAGGAGCCTGCAAAAAAAAATCAATAACATCAATAAAATAAGCAAGACCCATTGCCTGAATGGATTAAGGTGTTAACAATCACATAGAAATTAATGAAAAACATTAGAGAAAAAAAGACAATTTTTAAGATTACACCACATTTTTTAAAATTTTTTTTAATAAATCTTTTTCTTTTTTTTTATATTTACTTATTTATTTATACAAGCACTGGGTACAGTCAGAGGAGTGGGAGGGTGAGAGAATTCACCAGAGCCAGAGGGGGGAGCAGAACAGGCAGAAGGACCAAAGTACACTGCTGAGGGGAGCAGCAGCAGGCGGCAGGAGAGGTCTGCGCGCCACGTGGGACCCTCACCCCATGGCCAGGCTCTAACCTGCGCTGCAGAGGCTGCAGGCAGCACTCAACCGCAGCACCACCAGGGGAGGCCCTACCCCACATTTTTTTTTTTCAGTTAGGAGAACATAAGTACTTCAGTCTGTGAAGAGTGTGTAGTTCCCACTGAGGAGACTGCACAGAGAGAACTCAGGGGAGTAAACATTTGAATCTTGGAAAAATTCTATAGAGTCTTAAAATTTTAATATTATCTCATATCTCAACACTTCAGTTTTACAAAATTTAATTTTATAAAGAACTAAGAAAGGTTTATGGAGAGCTTTCAGCTTTATAACATCCTATAACATGTCCCCTCTGCTCTTCATAAGAACCTTCAAGCTCCTGAGGGTCCAGGATAGTTTCAAGCACACTTTTCAAAGAAAATACAAATCATGGCATGGGCCAGGACTTACCAAATATTATGCACAAAATGGTCCAAGAATATTTGCTTTTGTGAATGATCAAGGCTTAGTCTTAACAATTTCTCATTAGTTAGGACTGTTCTAAATCCTGCTATTTCTACCTCTTTAGTAAGTCAATGACTTTCAATGGAGATTTTATGCTGCATAGATACAGTAACCCTACGGCACCTCTAAGATGAATTGGGGGTGGGGTGAAAAACTTGCAACTAATTTGCCTGCTTGACCACAAATCCATTTCCTGTATGGTATGATTTCTGTAGATTCTGTTTTTCTGGTCTCTCGCATTAGGTTGCAGAGTTCTGTAAGGAGGTGTCTACATCTACTGTTTAACATACACAGCTCCTTGGAGAGCCTCACTCAGTACCTGTGACGGGACTGGTGGTATGGGGTGCTGGAATAATGCTCAAAAAAACAAAAAACAAAAAACAAAAAAAACAACTACATTAGCTTCAGGGTAATATTTTTTAATATTCTGAAAATTCATTTTATCCCACTTTCAACTTACTTTTGGATAATATTTAGCTATAATACTGATTTTTTTTTTTTTTTTGTGGGACCCTCACTGGTGGCCTGGGGTCAAACCGGCGCTGCAGAGGCCCCGCAGCCTCGCAGCCCAGCGCTCAACCGCTGCGCCACCAGGGGAGGCCCAATACTGATTTGTTCTTAGGTACTTAATTCAGGGGATTTAAAATTCAGTGCATGGAAAATGCACAGTATTAACCACTCACCTACTATTCCAGCAAGTGTTGGACTTGCTCCAAGAGATTTGACATGAAGGCTCAATAAAGGGACAACCATGCTTACACCAAACAAATCCTAAAAAGCAAAACACTGATTAAATCAATTTAGAAACTGAAGCCTAGTTGCTTTTCAAGTGGTGATATTAACATAGACTTTTAAAAAATAACATCAACATCAAAAATTTTGAGCAAACAAGAAACCATAATTGTATTCTATAGTATGTTGTACACATCAGGTTAAAGTTACCAACAAGTCCAAATACACTGTATACAGCTGCTGCCTGTAAGTATCTGGGTCACCCTCACCTGAGTTTAGTTTTTTTGTAGTGATTCTTAATATTCAAGGAAGGATGTGCTGCAGAAGTTCTTTAAATAAAAAAAAACAAAAACATCTGTATGGGTAATGAAATAGGAGAGGTGAGTAATGCATACTTCTTGGCAAAGAAGTACTTGTTTAATAATATGAATTTCCTTCCCAAGAAAGTGAATGATCTGTGATTTATAGTCTATGAGATAATACTTGAAATGAAAGTCTCAGCAAAGCAAGAAGAAAAAAAAAGGGCAATGCTGAGTGATGGCCTTATATTTAATATCAAATAATCTTAAATAGCTCAAATTTATGCTACCAGAACCATAATTTAAATTTTAAGATAACTTAAAATTTCTTTTGGGTAGGAGCAGTTTCTTTTGGGCATTCCTACCTGCTTTGTTCACTCAGCCTAACTGATATTTGATACCATTTAAAAGACTCAAAATATATCAGCTACCTATTGTATTTTCTGGATCTTTCAGAAAAGGAAATTTTCCAACAAAATTTTTTTCAAAAATTTTCCAGTGCCACTTGTCACTTTTTATTCAAATGTTTATTCTAAACAAAGGCAAGAAACCAAATATTTAAGTAGATAGGCTGAGATATAAGGGAGTCTCACTGCTAGCTCTTTCCCCTCAGGAAGTTCTGCTCTAAAAAGGTCTTCTCCTTTACTATAAAAGGCAACTGCTCTCTTGTGGAGTCACAGTTCCCTCAAAACCACCCTTTTTGAATGCATTTAAAATTTGGCAACTTGTCATGTGCTAGTAACCATGTATAAGGAAATCAGACCAGAGGGATGTCAACCTTCCAAAGAACAGCTACATTCCAAAGTTTAGGACCCTTTTCAGGAAATGAATGCAAATATTTCTTGATTTGTGAATTATTTAAAAAAAATTAACAATTGACTAAAGCTGAAGAAATGGAATTCAAATCTCACCAGGAGGAAAGAAAGGACTAAAATCCTAGATCCTAGCAAATCTTAGCATGTAAGCCAAAAAGGGCCTAAGGGTCATCTTAATCATTTTAGTCTTCATTTCTAAACAAATTAAAACTTGGAAGCACAAATAAGAATTAAAAACAGAATATTTTGTTAAAATATTTGTTTAATCTTGTTCCCTTCCTCTCAATTACAAACCATTTTCCCAAAAGTCTTAGGGTCTTTACATATCTAAATATATTAAAAATCATAATTGAATTATGTGTAATATTTCCTAGATTGTTATCTAACAGTCAACAGATCCTTCAAGGATACCCAAAGCTATATATAATTGTTTACATTTTCCATTAAAAAAATTCCTACTCTTAACTTATGAAAAATCTTTTATTTCCCTCTGAAGATATTAGCGACCTAATGCTTTTCCTGAATATCTTATTAAAATTTTATGACAGCCACACAAGATTCACTATGTGTACAGCACAAAGAAAATATGTGAAATGCTCTGAATATTCAGATCTGTATTGCAAGTCTGACTATAATGAATGATCTGTGAATTTGTTTTATTTTAAGCTAAGACTATTTTGAATTCTAGGTTATCGTGGTTTCCAAACTCTATGAACCATATTCTGGATTTTCCAGATGAGGATGCAAATGCTTTTCATTTGGCAGAACCACACAGTAGTACTACCTGGGATAAGACAGCAACAGCTTAGGGTCTCCATGTCCAACCAGAAAGGGGATGACAGCTACCTCCCCTTTCAAATTTGAAAACCCGTCCCACTCAACTGGTTTTGAATACTTGTGACTAGACTGGAAAGCAGAAGAAGCATCTACATCCTGAGACTGAACTAAGAAAAAGATGAAAGCAAAGGAAGTAAGAGTGCCACACTGAATTAAAAGACACTGAGCCTAGAGGTGAGGTCTGCAATGTCAACTAGAAGAAAAGGCCCTCTCTATATCACGGCCCTCCCTGAGTGTCCACAGTGGTATGCTTACTGTGATTTGGTGAACATGCATTCATGACTGCCTTGACTGTTGAACACTTTGCTAAAGGAGAGGAAAGGTCAACTGCTTACCTGCTTCCTTCTTCATTAATATGGCCATTGTCCTAACTCTAGCGAGGTACAGGACTGGGGAGAAGTTGTGGTCTTAACCTGCATCTAGGCAGAAAACATAATTCCTTTTTTGCCAGGGCCTAGTCCCTTAAGGACCTGAGGTAGTATTCTTCCAATGACACATAATATGACCGGTTCCATTTGATCTCAAAGAGGAAATCCTACTAGATACTGATCCAAGTGCCCTAACCTAAACTGGCTCAGGACTAGGACAACTGAACCAGGTTTAAACTTGGAAAGAGGGGGGGAAAAAAAAAAAAAAGGCAGTCTAGGATTCCTGCAGATAGTGATTCCATGAACTACCAGCATAAACTTTCTAAAAAGATTATAAATTCTTCTGGCAAGAACTTTGTATTACAGTGATGTAGCTCCACAGTACCTATATATAGGAGGTTTTCAGAAATTCTACGAATAATAGGTAAATGCATGGATGGAAGAATGACTTGCCCTAACATACGCTCAGCTCTCTAAGCTTTCCATTCTAAATGGAAAGAAATAATTATCCTTATTAAACCAGGCCACACACACACACACACACACACATACTCCAAACAAAATCAAATCTGCCTTGTGCAATATATAGTTTGTCAAAGGCAGATGTGTATGAGTCACTGTGACTTGACTTTTAAATGTTCCAGTCTACTGGTAACTTTAATGAAAATGTGCTTAATTCTGTCCAAGTGGGGTCAGCAAGGGTGATCTCCCTGATCTGGCCACATAAAAAGGCCTGTGTGTTGTTACTACAGCCACTGGAGCAGCTGGGCTTTCCCAAGCTTGCCCTGGAGCCCAGGATCTTGGTCCAGCAGGCACCCACCACAGCATCTAACACCTGGCGGTCACCCTGGAGCGTACCTGTCCACTAGTCATACCCGAAGCAATTGCTGGCGTGTGTCAAACTGCAGGGAGGGGCGTGGCGCCATGAAGTGTGGCCAGTGAAAGCACGAAGGGCAAAAGGTAACATGGGCAGGTGTACAGTGACGAGGATTATGGGGCAGGAGCAGGTGTGCGAGGGTGGGAGGCACCACGGGCACGTCGCTGGAGGCTGCCTGGGTGAGTGTTACATCCGCCTTGGGCACTTCAAGAAAAAACACAAAACTGGGTTCCAAGTCTGGGACTCATTCGGTTCTTCGCCCCCAGCCCAGCACTCACCAAGAAGCCCACCAGGTAAAGGCAGAACAAGAAGCGGCGGGTTTGCAGCGGACTAGGAGCCCCCGCCTCGGTTCCTGTCCTCGACTTCCGCCGCGATTTCTGTGTCTCCGGGGCCAGCCCCGGGGCAGACCGCAGGGCCCGCTCGTGGCCCGGCCAGGGCTCCATGCAGACGTGGGCAGGGGGTGCATCGACGCCCGCAGCAGCCGCCGGGACCCGCCTCGGCGCTCCGGCCCCGCCCCAAGCGGAAGCGGGAGGTGTGCGCCTGCGCACAAGGGAGCACAGCGAGGCTGCCCCCAGGCGGCGGGAGGCTGCAGGTGCAGCTCGCGGATTGCACGCACCTCGAGGCAGGGGCGGGCACCTTGTCGCCCGCGGCCAGGGAAGGACGCTCCGGTTTCGTATGGTAATAATAATGCCCTACGTTTCCTTGGTTAAAGACCCTAATGTCCCTGCCATTGGAGGGCGGGAGGGAATTGTGTGATGAGCCGTACCTCGGAATGTGGAGGGGGTGACCTGCGCTGGGAACAGTTCCAGCTGGTAGATGCTGGATTTAGGGCACGAGTTGATTGACCCAGAATAAGTTTGATTTGGCCCCACCAAGCTTCAGTTTGCCTACTTGAGAAACAGGAGGAGATAATGTACACCATCCTCACAGCTGTGAGGAGTCTGAGGATGCTTTACTGGACACTTCTCTGGTGCTGTGCAGCGTGAACAAGATATATCTCAGCCCGAGTCTCAAGTTTCCTGATGTACAATAAATAAACATGGTAAATAGCAAACAATAAACATAAAATATTTAAAGAATAATACCTCAGTGAATACAAGAGTGTACTGACAAGTGATATAAGAAAACATAGTCTTGTGGAGGCAGAAGATGGGGGAGCTGCATTAGGACGTTAGCTTGGATGAGATGACATGTAAGCTGAGAAACTTTAAAGGAGGTAAGTATATGTGCCTGAAATTGAACATTCTGAGACACCAGAGATGTAGGCAGGGGTGCCAATCATCCAGGACCTAAAATGCCATGACTTGGGCCTCCCTGGTGGCACAGGGGTTAATATGCAACCTGTGAAGTTATCTGCAGCCACTGCAGCACAATTTCAATCCCGGGCTAGGGAGCTACCCACATAGCTCAGCAGACCTCTGCTGTCTCACCCACTGCTCCCCTCAGCAGTGTGTTTCAGTCGGTCTGCCTGTTCTGCTCCCCATTCTGTCTCTGGTGAGACCTCTCACCCCCCACACCTCTGGCCTGTACCCCAGTTCTTGTATGCATAAATAAATAAATCTTTAAAAAAAAAAAAAGCCATGACCTATTGTGACTGCAATAAATGGGAAAAGCAGCACCTGGCATCTAATAATGTGTATACATCACTTAGCACGTTTGACTGACACAGGGTATATACATAATACCTAGCAACTAGGTTTATTAGACCTTGTATGCAGGGACTTACTTCATCACTTATTTAACTTTCATTCTGGTATCAAGAAGAGCCTGAGATTTTGATGAAAATGTCAAATTATTTGTGCATATTACTAAATTAGAGCCTCTCTTGAATTCAATTCTGCAGCTTTTCATGTGAAGTTAGGACACTATTTAGGAAAGATCGAAATACTGGAATTTTAAATGAAGACATGTGCTGGATCCAGGTAAAACTGACAATATTTTCTCTTTTTAATTCCTCATTTTTTTGTTGAGGTGGCATTGACTTAAAGCACTATATGTTCTTTAAGAGTATAGGTTTAACTCCTCTTTAAATATGTGTTAGCACAACCGGCGCACTACCAGACACCATTAATCATCCACCTCCAAGATGAAAATGAAAGTTATATTAGTTTTTTACATTATAATTCTTTGACAACTGATATTGAAATGGAATCTATATAAAGCATCTAACTCCTGGTCTTAGGGTGATACTTTAGTACCCTACTCTTATGTTTTCACTTAATCTTAGGTACTCCTATAGAGTTTGTAGACCCTATCTCCAAACATACCCAGGGCATTCTTGTTGGGGTTAGGAATTCAACATAGGACTTTGGTGGGACACATAATAAGAAATCCTGCCATAGAAAGATTCAGAGTTGCCTCAGTCTTCTCATTGATAAAATAGGTGGGTGGATTGTCTTGCCTCTTACAAGTCTCCCCCACCCCCATTGGGAAAATCATCTGGAGTAGAAATTAATAGTCCACCTTCTTCTTATGGATAAAAAAGGACAAAGTGACAAAAGTATGTAAGGAGAAGGCAACATATCCCAGTGCCAAGAATAAATAAATATTTCTCTAAATTAAGACTCAGGTCATTATTCCCAAGTTTCATGTAAAGTACTTTCACAACCAATAGATGAGGGGAGCCTTTTCAGTCACAGAATTTTCAGCATATGGAGTATAACATGTGCTCTCAGAAAGAATTTCGAGCAACAGGATGAGTAAATGATATCAAAACTGCAATGTTTTATTTTTTTTAAGATTTATTTATTTATGCATACAAGAACCGGGGTATAGGCCAGATGCACAGGAGGGTGAGTGGATTCACCAGAGACAGAGCGGGGAACAGAACAGGCAGACTGACTGAAATACTGCTGAGGGGAGCAGCGGGCGAGACAGGAGAGGTCTGCCACGCCATATGGGATTCTCGGGTGGCGGGGATCAAACCGGCACGGCAGAGGCTGTGGGTAGCTTCACAGCTCTGTGCTCAACTGCCTGCGCCAGGGGAGGCCCAAAACTACAATCTTTTAAAATGCATATTGGCCGTGCAATTGGATGCCTGTAAGTTATACATCATTTTGATTTCTAGTTCTATATAGCAAAAATTTCTCTTTTGGTCTCCAGTTTTGTTTCTGAAATGATTTTTTTGTATTGATTGAAATTGAAATAAACAAATAAATTCTAAGGTTTTTAGTCCCTTGGAAGAGTTAGTGCCCCTTAAGTGCACTAATAGAATTCTTTATGGAGTTGAGCACAGAGCTAGGAAGTGAGCCTTTTTAAAGCAAAGGATATTTTTGTAAAATAGCTTCATTTGTGTGAGTTACTTGTATAAGGATTCTCAATTTAATGTAGTGTAAATGGCCTGAATTAATGAGGTGAATAATCTTATGGGTCTTGCTAGTGTGCTGTTCAATGTGAGCTGTTTCATCAATGCCTTGGTAATTTGATGGAATCATCTTCGTTAAGGCTGTTCAGCGTCAAACACTATGAAAATAGTAAGTCCTGGTAGCACAGTCTTTGTGTTATATAAAATCCTAACACCTGACCAGTGTACCATGAAATGCAAGTTTTATGTTTGGCCACCAGATGGCAGTGTTCAACCCAGTTCATTTTAAGTCACTAGGATTGCTATTTGATCAGCTAAATTTTTACTGAGCACTTATCTACAGCATTATGTTAGGTGTTAGGGATGACACAGTAAGCAAAAATAGAATCACTTATAACCTCCATAAATTAAATTTGTTGTTCCTGTACTATATATGAGATATGAAAGCCTGTGAAATAATCTTTAAAGATTATGGGATGTGGCCCTGTTTCCTGATGTCACATTGGTGGATGGGGGATGCAGTGGGGAGAATGACACATAAAAAACAAGAACATACAGATATGATCAAAAAGATCCTTAGAGACACAGAGAAATAGTAATAGCTCATTGGTAGTAAACATCTGTCAAAGATCACAGGGAAGCAATGGATTTTAGGGTTATCACTCATATGGTTTTATGTATAGAAAGGACTGTGGAAATATGGTCATTTGTTTGCTTTCCCCCAGGATAAAATGTTTTTCGAAACCCAGAATTTTGGAGATGTTGAAAAAGTAATAATATGCACTTTCCATACATTACCTAACACCCTCACTGGAACTATAAGATCAAACACTTTCATACTTATGTAATAAAATATATGAGAATTCACACTAGCTTATATACACCATCATGTCAGTTAGGTCTAATTTGCTAATAGCTTTTGGTTGTTGGAATGGCAGGTAAGTATTCTGGACCTTAATATAGAATCTACCCCCAAATTCCCCCCAAATCCATTCCAGTGTTCTGGAACATAAATCACCAATTTGTAGAAGCCAGAGTTTGATTTCAATATTTATTTACAAATATGTTCAGCATTGTTGGGTGCTAAGCATTGTCATTCTTAATTTTTTTAAAAAACAAACTGAACCATAATTAATTTTGTTTTGAGAATATCTAAATAATTTCATTATATTTTGAGATAATTAAGAATAAATTGCAACATCAGTATTAGAAATTATGGCCTTGGAAAAAAAGAATGTTTTGCTCATTAGCACTCACAAATTAAATATGACTTAAGTTTGCTGCTAAGTTTCAGTGAATTTATGATTATAAAAAGCACAGTTAACTAAATAAGACACTGGATCACAAAACAGACAAAACTTTCCACTGCTTACAGACATCCAGCCTTTGGTTTTTATTTAATTTGTAAAAAGCAAGGCGGAAATTAAAAACACTGTTTTGGAAAGCCAATGATCTTATTGTACCCTAGATTTTAAAAGCTTGACTTTCAAACATTTTTTAATAAAAAAATTAAAAACACTTTTCTACAATTTATCTAAGTGCCACAATTCCTCTAAAATGGAAGTTGTTTCCAGAAAGTCAGAAGTCTCTCCAAATAAAATTATAACAGTAGAAATAATCAGAATGAGTGGGAAAATAGGCAGGAATGAGCAAAGAGTTCAAGGAACTTTTAGAATGAAAAAGCAAAATGGAATAAATTAGCCAGTGTTTTAGCTGGATATAGTGTACCTTTTAATGCTTGGTTTCACAACATGTCTCTGCTTGTCTGCTTCCGTTTACTCTTTATCTGTTCTCAAAAGTATTTGGAGTTCCTGGACTCTACTGCTGCTGTTATTAGAAATGGACCTGCCCATCCAGGTTGTCACCCTCACCTGTCCTTGTAGTGGTCTGGGCTGCTCTGCCTTTTAGGACTTGGCTTCTTCAAGTTGAATGATGATGGTGACCTGGAGATACGAGATGTCCCACCCCCACCCCAAAGGGAAATCCTACTAAAAAAGAAAAGTATTTGAATTAGCTTAAATGAACACATACAAAAATAACCACAGGTACCAGGTTATAGAGTTATGTGTTCAAGAGAAAAACTAAAGGCACAGAGAAGGAAACTAGAGAAGATGGGACAGGAAAATGGGAGTGGGGGATCACGGATGTCA